GTAGCCCAGGCTGGCCTCGAACTCACAGAGATCCGCCTGGCTCTGCCTCCCGAGTGCTGGGATTAAAGGCGTGCGCCACCACCGCCCGGCCCAACCTGATTGATTATTCTATTCAATGTTTGGTTGCAAAATGCCTCCAGTATCACAATGTCCCCTGCATCCCCTGACTTTCCCAAGCTGCCCTTTGGTGAGGCACTCATGAGGTAACTCCCAGGCCACGGCTCTTATCTGAGAGGGCACAGTCTTGAGCAGGGCAGATTCCAGACTGACTCCACCCTCATCGACTGCCTGAGCAAATGCTCCGCCCATCTCTTGTCTCCCACCCACCACATTCCTTTCCTCCCTGGGTTACAGATTGGGAAGGTGAGTGTAGAGCTGGGTAGCTCTTTCCACCAGGGCTTCCAGCCACCCCCCTCCCACCCCCCGCACCCCGTCACAGTGCTCCTGACTCCTTGTGTGGCAAACCACTGAGGCCAGGGAATTGTTTCACCTTCCTGTTCTACCCAGGTGGAGAGGGATCAGATCCCTGTCTAGACCAGACAAAGGTCAGAGCCCCCAAGGTCCCTGAAGAAAAACCCCAGGGAGCCATCTCCATTTTGGGTCTCTGCCTGAAGTCCTCATTTTGACTTGTTTGGGGCTTTAATTTATCATGGCCTCCTTTGCTCCCCTCTGTGTTTTACAGCTCCCACCCCACCTCTTCATTTGTGAGAAACAGGCGCTGTCTCTTCAGCTCAGGGGGCAGTAACATAATCAAACAGGCTAGGAGGCAGAAACAGTGACTGAGGTCCACTGCAGGCAAGGCTGGAAAAGCCAAGCTTGAAGCCCAGTATGGTGGTGTATACCTTTAATCCCAGAGGCAGGTGGATCTCTGAGTTCAAGGCCAGCCTGGTCTGCAAAGTGAGTTCCAGGACAGCCAGGGTTATACAGAGAACCCTGTCTCAAAACAAAACAACAACAACAAAAGATACTAGATGAGTTGGTTCCAGGGGGTTCCTCACTTCGGATGGCCGCCATCTTGCTTCTGTTTGCTGTCTCTCGCATGGTGAAAGGACAGGTCAGCTTTTTCTTCCTTTCCTTCAGGTGTTCTTCTACTGATCTATACCTCCTGTCCCTTCCTCTTCTTTCAAGGACATTAATCCATCAGGGGGTCCATGCCCATGATCTCTTCTTCACCAAATTGCCTCCTAAACCCACCCCTGAACCCAGTATCATCATATCACAGGTTATAGTTTCAACGTGTGCTTTTTTTTTTTTTTTTTTTTTTTGAGACAGGGTCTGGTGTGGCCCTCGCTGGCCTTGAACTTGATATACGGCCAAGAATGACTTTGAAGTCCCGACCCTTCTGCCCCCACCTCCTGAGCACTGGAGTCACACTGCCGGGCCCCGTATATGCGATGCTGGGGATGGAACACAGAGGCCCAAGCATGTTGGGCAAACATCCATTGACCAATCCTCACATGTGGCTCTTAGGGGAGGACACTCGCTCAGAACCGAGGCTTAGGACAGAAAAATGGAAAACAACCTAGGCATAGTGGCTCAGACCTGCAATCCTAGCATGTGAATGGCTCAGCTGGGAGTCCTCTCCAAAGTTAGAGGCCAACTGGGGACATGGGGATGCCTGGCAAGCCTGGGATACCAAAGAAAAAAAGACAGCTGGGTTTGGATGGACGGCTCAGGGGTTAAGAGCATTGGCTGCTTTCACAGGGGTCCTGGGTTCTGTTCCTTGCACCCACAACAGCCGCTCACAACTGCCTGTGACTCCAGCTCCAGTTACGACACCCTCTTCTGACTCCGCCTACGCTTGCACATACAGGGTGCACATACAGACAAGCAGGCACACACATACACACACAAATAAAAGTTATATTAAAACAAAATACTGTAGTGAAGCTGGGCTCAGTGGCACAGGCCTGAAGCATCTCAGCCACTTGGGAGCCTGAGGCAGAAGGTTTCCAAGTTCAAGGCCAGCCTGAGCCACTTAGCAGGATGGCTGGGGACATGTTCAGAGACGAAGTGTTCTGCCTGGTTAAATCTCAAGGCCTCCAGGTTAAATCTCCAGGACTGTACCCCCTACCCCCCAAACCCCACTATACTAGATATATTCATATATACATACGGACACTACAAATTCTAATTATTCTCTTCCAGAAGATTCCCAGGAGAGAGATTGTAAAGGAAATCAATAAGAAATGAGTCTCAATCTCAGCATATTGGAATTTACTGGCTACCTCCCAAGAAGGCTTGAAGGCATAAAAAATAAAAAAAATGAATCTATGCACCTAAGAAGAAGAGGGTTTAGCCACACTCCCAGATTGTCCTATAAAACCAGAATATTAATTTATTAATTTTCAATGAAAAATATAAGTGGGTTGTTAACGGGGAGACCAGAAGGAACGCTGCCCAGTCAGAGCATCCTCTCCCTCTGTCCTTCACTGGTGGAGCTGAAGGACGATTGTTTGGTGATATGGAGCAAGGGGTTTAAGTAGCATTAACTTTAAGTTATAGCTATCAGGCCAAAGGGACTGGAGATGTAGCATAATGTCAGAGCCCCTGTCTAGATGAATGACTGAGGCTGTGGGTTTGATGCTCAATGCAGCAAAGAGAGAAAAAGACATTGGGCCGGGGAATAAAATGCTTGCTATGCGAACTTGGGGACCTGAGTTCCACCTCTGCTTCCCCCATAAAAATGCTGGGTGTGGTGGCAAATCCTTGATTGATCGAGACAGGGCCCTGGCCAGCTAGCCTAACTTTCTTAGCAAGCTCCAGGCTAGAGCAAAGATCCCCATCTCAAAAGACAAGATAGACGGCATCCAAGGAACACCTGAGGTTGACCTCTGGCCTCCACAGACACATGAACATGTGTAGAAGTATATCAGCACACACACAAATATGCATACATACACACAAAGAAAGAAAGAAAGAAAGAAAGAAAGAAAGAAAGAAAGAAAGAAAGAAAGAAAGAAAAAGAGAGGAAGAGAGGAAGAAAGGAAGAAAGAAAGAAAGAAAGAGAGAGAGAGAGAGAGAGAGAGAAAGAAAGAAAGAAAGAAAGAAAGAAAGAAAGAAAGAAAGAAAGAAAGAAAGAAAGAAAGAAAGAGAGGAAAAAGGAAAGACATCAGGCAAAGACTCTACTGAATATGTCCATGGAAGTCCCAAGCCATCGCTGCCAGGGACAGATACAGGGGCTTGGGGATCAGGGTACCACTTCCTCTGCAATGTTTGGGTAGGGGCAGCCTGTATTCTACCTGTCAGTATTCCTGGGCTTCTGCGGTTTGCTAACTCCTCTTCCCTGAACACGTCACGCCTTCAGACATGGAAATGTTTAGCAGTAAAGCTTTTTAGTCTGTCTCCCATCACTGGTGCCCAACTCCTGCCTGGTTCAGGAGATTCCAAAAGACTCAGTCTCAGAACTGCTTGCCAAACTGTACCTGGTCAAATGTGTATTTTCCAGAGAGTTTATAGTGTTTACCAGAGTTTTAAAAAGAGATTTTTACCTGATAGTGGGTAGTGCATGTCATGCCCCGCACTCCACCCCCACCATGCCATGCTTTGCCATGAGCAGGGCATTTCCGAGTGTGATCCCATCTAATCCCTCACGGAGGCTAAGCCTGGGCAAGCTGAAGAAACATCTCACTCAAGGGACTTGTAAATCTCTTGCCTGGACTAGTCAGTGTTTGTGCTGTGGGCAAGCCTACTTGATCCTTTTATCTTTCTAGATGAAGGGGCAAGAGGAAGCATTGGACCATGCAGGCAACCCATGCCACACGACACCGTGGAGTAGTTCTGCTCAGACACTGAGCCTCGCCCCCTGGCCCAGACTCCAGTCACCTGCTTTCTTGTCTTCTTCGCTTAGTTCTGTGCCCTTACCTTGTGAATGAGTGCCTTCTGCCCATCTCATCTTCTGAGGTCCGGATGCCACCTTCTGTAGACACCCTTTCTTCCCAGGGTGCCCTGCGCCTGTTCCTCTTCCTTTTATCCCTGCAGAGTATAGAAACAGTAGGCTCCCTAAAGGTTCCTGGATTATTCTTAATCAAAAGTGGTACATACCAGTGATTCCAATTGTCTTAATTCTATCACTGTGAAGAGTCACCAGGACCACAGCAACTCTTTTTTTTTTTGGTTTTTCGAAACAGGGTTTCTCTGTGTAGTTTTGGTGCCTGTCTTGGATCTCGCTCTGTAGACCAGACTGGCCTCAAACTCACAGAGATCCACTTGGCTCTGCCTCCCGAGTGCTGGGATTAAAGGCGTGCGCTGCTGCTGCTGCTGCCGCCGCCGCCGCCACCGCCGCCGCGCCGTCGCCACCCGGCCCACAGCAACTCTTATTAAGGAAAACATTTAATTAGGGCTGGCTTACAGTTTCAAAGGTTTAGTCTATTGTCATCATGGCAGAGAACATGGTGGCACACAGGCAGACATGGTGCTGGAGAAGGAGCTAAGAGTTCTACATCCAGATCCATAGGCAGCAGGAAGAGAGAGACACTAGACCTGCTTTGGGCTTCTGAAGCCTAAAAGCCTGCCCTAAGTGACACACCTCCTCCTCCAAGGCTGCACCTCCTCATCCTTCTAAGTAGTGCCACTCTCTTTGATGACTGCATATTCAAACATGTGAGCCTATGAGGGCCATTCTTTTCGGTTTTAATTTTGGTTTTGGTTTTGGTTTTTTGAGACAGGGTTTCTCTGTGTCACAGCTCTGTCTGTCCTGGAATTTGCTATGTAGACCAGACTGGCCTTGAACTCACAGAGATCCACCTGCCCCTGCCTCCCCAGTGCTGGGATCAAAGGCGTGCACCACCACTGCCTGGCAAAGACCATTCCCCCGCCCCCCAAGACAGGGTTTCTCTGTGTATTTTTGGTTCCTATCCTGGTTCTCACTCTGTAGCCCAGGCTGGTGTCGAACTCACAGAGTTCTGCCTGGCTCTGCCCCGAGTGCTGGGATTAAAGGCGTGCGCCACCACCGCCCAGCTTAGAGCAGCTTCTTTATTAACCAATCCTAGCAACACATATTCACAGCATACAGAAGACCATCCCACAGCAAATACTCTTTCCTTGATCCTTAATGTTACAGAATAAAGGGTGTGACAAAATCTCAATGTCATGTGCCTGGTACCGGACACCCACATGGGAACTGCTCTCAGGTGCCCCTGTTTCCAGAGAGTCTTGCTTTGATCCAAAATCTCAGGAGAGGGGCTGAAGTGAACCTGCCCTTCTAGAGACCAGCCCCAAGATGAAAACTAAGTGTTACGGGGCAGTGGTGGCTCATCTTTAATCCCAGCACTCAGGAAGCAGAGGCAAATGGATCTGTGTGAGTTCGAGGCCAGCTTGGTCTACAGAGTGAGTTCCAGGACAGCCAGGGCTACACAGGGAAACCCTGTCTTGAAAAAAAAAAAAAGAAAGAAAGAGAGAGAGAGAGAGAGAGAGAGAGAGAGAGAGAGAGAGAGAGAAAGAAAGAAAGAAAAGAAAAAGAAAGAAAGGAAGGAAGGAAGAAAGAAAGGAAGAAAACTGAGTCTTCTTTAGCAATGATTGGGAAATCTCTATGCAGACAGAGGAGATTAGGTTTTGGTTTGCTTTAAGTTTTCTAAGTATATTTATTTATTTATATGTGTGGGCATGCATGTGCCATGGCATGTACTTGTAGGTCGGAGGACAACTTGGGGGAGTCAGTTCTCTCTCCCCATCGTGTGGGAGCCGGGGATCGAACTTAGGCTGTCAACTCTGGCAGCAAGCCCCTTCACCCCCAAGCCACCCTGCTGTCCTGGGGTCCATTTTTGAGGACGCTGTTTCTCTCTTCTCCCTGCCTAATAAAGGAGTGGTCTTAAATCCACCGACTGCAGAAAGCCCGGCTGCTTCAACACTTGGTCTATTTTCGTCTCTCTACCACTTGCTCAAAATAAAGAGCTCATTGCTATTCTGCCCACGGCCGCATCTAACTCCTAACTGGACTGGGAATTGAATTCATTTTTCTCTCTTCTGCTAAATACCATTTTTATCTTGGCTCAGCCCATGAATCCTTAGATGATAGCATCTGCTTCAGCAGCCCATGCCTGGACCTAAGGAACAGGCGAGAAGGGACCCCTCCTCATCCCCCCTTGACCTGTCTTTCTTCCCGCGAGGATTCTCCCACCCACAGCGCCAGGCGGCAGAAGCCACCTTTCAGGCTGCCACCGGCATTTCCCGTTTTCCCCTCACTTCCTTCCTTCCTGGGTGAGGGGTGGGGGCCTTCAATGTTTCACCAGTGAATTCCAACATCCCCACCCCCCAGACTTCGGGCTCCCTCCCTTTGAAAGAGGAAAATGAATAAAAGGTGGGGAAGACAAGGCTCTCCAAAGGCAGTTTCCTACAGGAAAAAGAGACTCCTAGGTTGGGCGTGGTGGCGCACACCTTTAATCCCAGCACTTGGGAGGTAGAGACAGGTGGACCTCTGTGAAGTTCAAGGCCAGCCAAGGCTACATAGTGAGACTGTCTCCCCACTCCACAAAAAGAAAAGCAAAACAGGGGTTGGGTGGGGAGAGATTCTTGGGGTGGGAAGATGGATCAGTGGGTAAGGTGGTTTCATAGCAAGCATGATGAGTACCTGAGTTTGATGCCCAGATACCAGGTGTGGTGATGTGTGCTGATGATTGGGGAAGAGGTGCTAGATGGATTCGCCAGGGCTCACTGGCCAGTCAGCTTAGCATACTTGGCAAGTTCCAGACCAGAGAGAGACTGTCTCAAAAATAAGGTGCCCAAGTGACCCCTGAGGATGTCTTCTGGCTTCCATACACATACATACATAGAGAGAGACTTTTGGGCTAGTGGATTAGTGCAAGGCCCTGGGTTCAATCCCCTGGTGGGGGCAGAGAGAACATTTGATTGCTGAAAGGAATGATGTCATGCTTTATAGTCAGTCTGAAATTCTTGCTTCTTCATCTCCAGTCTCTTGTCCTAGCCTTCTGTCCCCCCCAGCAAGGTCAGCATCAATGTCATCACTTCATAAGTAAATGAGCGCCCCCCCCCAGACACACACACACACACACACACACACACACACACACACACACACACACACATATTCCCTGATCAGGCTGAGTCGAGATTAAGATGCCAGGCTCCCCTGAGGACAGCTGGGGCCGGAGGTGTCTTTCAACGGCCTCATTATTTTAATCATTATGCG